CCGCGCCCCTCATCTACTCCGTCTCCTGTTCTTCGTCCTGTTCTTCGGCTCCTGAATCCAGGCTCATTCGCTTCAAATTGCCTACTTGCGCCCAGTTCCCCTCACTTGCCGCAATCCTCGTTCCACCCCACGGGGCTGTCATTCCTTTTGTCGTCCGTCCACCGTTGTCCTCTGCAATTTCGCTCGGCGCACTTCCAACTCGCATCTACACCGACCGTATTCAAAGATCGCCTGTCGCACGCCCTGAGGTCAACGCTTGATTGTGCTTTCACTTCGCTTGTGCGAGTCGGTCGATTGCTTGCCAAATACCCAAACCATTGATCCTCAATTAATGGACCGGATTGCCTCACGAGTTGGAAATCGAGCTCTTGTGGTGACATTTGGATGAATTGGGTTCTGTGATCGCAGCAACTGGACGGACATCGGGTACGACCATGGCCGCCCGGCCCAGATTTGGTGAAATTCGCTCCCCCTCCCATGATACCCTCCGCAGCGGGGCGCCCTCCCCGCGCATTGAGCATTACGATGGTGAAATTCCTCCCGCGCTCTCCCCGCTCGATGCCTTTGCCGCCCAAGGCCGCCTTCTAGCCCGCCAGTTGGAGGAATCCGCTCGGAGGAACCGTCGCATGAGCCGATTGCCTCCTTCCAGTGTGGCACGCTCCCTTTCGCAGCCACGACCGGGCTATTTTCGCTCGGCTTCTACTAGCGATGCTCGCGGGGGAAGGCGCAATGAATTGTCGAGACAGCCAACGCAGAAGATGAACCCCGAGGTGGAGGAGCCTAAGTTTCGCCCACAGTCCGAACATCCGCGGCTCAGCGCCATCTCACACCTGTCAAGTGAAGTACCAGATGAAACGGAGGCGCAAGAAGAACAACACGAGATGTCGGAGGAAACAGAAGATGACGATGCCACCCCGAGGAAGGAATCGACTGCTGATGTGTTTGACTTGCCCCGCTCCGATTCTCCGGACAATATCAGTGCATACAGTGCCCCCGAAGGACCCCGTCGCTTCTATTCCGTTGCCCCCTCCTGTGCTCCTTCGGAGGGCCGCACGCCTCCGGCAGGGGTGGTTGTGATGCCCCCATCCCGAACCTCGTCTACCGACTCAGCTTCTCATTTAAACATTCCGTCGCGTGGATTGACCCCGTCAGCCTCTCCTCTCTCGCGGCCATCGAGTGGTCCCCGAGGTGGCCAATTCGAGAGCTCGGATGATGATTATAGCAGCTCAACTGCCGGCTCGACGTTCTCGAAGCCACGAAAAATGTCCTCCAGCAGTGCAATGTCTATGCCTTACTCGCCCATGTCCAGTGTTCAAATTCGGTCTCATCCTCGATCTCCATCCATAAGCTCGGAAACCTCAAACTACGGGGGTCTGTCTCGCCCGTCGTATAATTTCTCTCGGCCGTTGAGTCGGTCTGGCACGAGTCTTTCGGCTCCCGGACCGGTGTGCTCATCGGATGGCATACAGAGCACCATTAACCGCGGACACAAACCCAGCCCCATCAGGGTGCCGTCTCCATCCGATTTGGCGTTACATCCGCACGAGGATCCATCCTCAGCTGTGTCATCTTATATCCACACAAAGTATGCTTTACCTCGAGGACGCGCCGTCTGCCGTGATTCAGTTGTCTTCTCAGGCCTGCAGACACCGCACTTTGAATGGCAAGAACCGCTGTTTGAGAGTCCCGATCGCCAAGCCCCTGCGGAGTCTTCTCGATCTCGGCGTACTCCGTCACCATCACCATCAGGCAAAGAGTCAGTAATTTCCAAGTCGCGCTCTATGCAGGAATCGCCCAGCTCGTCTCGGAGGCTTTTGACCCCTGAGCCGCCGCTACCGCAGGCGACTTCTCTTTCGCCCAGCGATCGTACAACACCTCCGAGGCGGACATCCACCGAGTCTGCTACGGCAGAAACTATACCATCAGAGCCACCAGTGAGCGAACTTGCAGCACCCGCGCAGTTGGAGTCCGAAACAGCCAGGAATGACAACGCCGATACTACTTCTTCTGCTGGCTCTGAGTCCACTATTCGCCCGCAGACAGCCAGGACACAGACTGCATCAGCGCCCATTACAGCAGATGAGCACGTAACCAAGGGTATCGAATGTCACGAGAAAGGATCCCTCAATGAATCTACGTACCACCTTCGCATAGCGGCCAAGCAGAATCATCCTACGGGGATGTTGCTCTATGCGTTAGCCTGCCGCCATGGCTGGGGAATGCGGCCGAATCAGCAAGAAGGTGTACGGTGGTTGCGCAAGGCTGTGGACTCCGTCGGATTAGAGCTTATGGATGACTCCAATCCGTCGATACCTGTTCGCATGAGAGAACTTCAGAAGGCTTACCGAGCCCAATTCGCTCTCAGTATCTACGAACTTGGCGTGAGTCATTTGAACGGGTGGGGTATCGAACAGGACAAGTCTTTGGCCCTACGCTGTTTCGAGATTGCGGGCCAATGGGGCGACGGTGATGCGCTTGCGGAGGCCGGGTTCTGTTACGCAGAAGGCATTGGCTGTAAGAAGGACTTGAAGAAGGCTGCGAAATTTTATCGCCAAGCAGAGGCAAAGGGACTCAACATGGTTGGGAATAGCTGGTACGTCTATAACATGCATTGTGAGAAATGGACGTTTTTGGCTGACTATTCGTGTTTCCAGGATTTACAAGGACAAGTATATGTCGGACGACAACCCGAGCTCCAATTCGCGCGGTCGTGGCCGCAGTCAACGATCTGGTACAACACCCGACAAGAAAAATCGCAGCAAGTCCCGCACTCGCAGTCTCTTCCACCGGAAGAAATCAGTTGCTACTGAGGCCTGAAATCTGTGCTGCCTTCTTTCGAGCTCAAAGCATTCACTAGCAACCGAAAAAAAGCCGTGTCCTACCTCCTCAAGGTGTTGGTAGTATCATTACACATGTTTACTTTGTGACATCCTCGTTTGTCACCTTATCTTCTTCGTTACATATTCTATCTCCCCCCCTTTTTTATTTCAAGTATCTACTTGCCTTGTTGCGACATCGACCCCGTGAGGTACATTCCACCCATTCCTACTGTTCCCATTCATTTTTCTCATTTTATGCTTCCCCCGTCTATTTTCACTTGCAACTTGCTTGGCAAATCGAAAATTTCGACCTGGTCTTAGGCGTTTCCCAGGCCTTCGCTGTGGGTCAGTGTCTCTCTTCGTCTCACCATTTCATCCCTATCTTTGAGCAGGCCTTGCCAACTGCTCCGAATGCTGGCCCGGAGAACGATCATGCATCAGTTCTCTGGGAACCAATTTGCGGGCATCGATATTCGTTTCTTGGATACCCATCATTAGCCCCTAATCACTGTGTGATATTTCGATTCGTGACTCTCCTTTGTTTAACTGACTCCGACCTTGCAACCCCCTGGGTCCCACACTTTCGTTCCATCCTGTCTATCTTCTCAAGTACCTTTTTTTTACCCAGAATATATCTTATCCTCTAAGTAGCCGAGTGAGCTTTATCGGCCAACGTCCAAGCTGGTGAAACGATTTATCTTATTTATTGCAATTGGACAGCAGCAGCAGTTCCTCTGCCATGGGTGCGCATGGTCCCTGCTTGGCCGCGTATTTAATTTAAATCTTCAAGGTTCCAGTGTCTAGTGCCTGGGCTTGGCTGGGTAGGATTGCAGCCATGGTTAATTTGGGACTGCAGGGAATATGAAACCACCGTCGAGGCTTCAGTTTTGGACATTGACTGAGAATCGAAGTGATGTAGAATGCGATGCTACGGCGAGAAAAGCAGCTTTGGATTTAAGTATGTCACACAACTTAAAAGGAAATTGGTTTGAGAGAGTTTCAGGATTGAGAAGATTAACTTTTTATTGTCACTTTTACTTTCAGTCATGGGAGAGAAGCAAATCGGGAGGGAGGGAGGGAAGATTCGGAAAAGGGAGAAAGAGTGGAAATGGGAAGGGCTGGACTGGACCGTGACTACAACTAACAAACTAACTAACTAACAGACAGACAGTTCTAAAAGAGACTATATGGAAGGCGGGAACTTACTCGGGCGGGGGTGTCCGCGTGCCCGCTTACATTCCTTTCTTTCCTCCTCCTCCTCCTCCTCCTCCTCCTCTCTTACTATCATCAATCATCGATCATCAATCATCAATTACCTTCCTTCACTTCTCCACTCTCATCAATCTGTCGCTCGCTTCTCTGATTGGCAATCTCCGTGACTTTCCGGGGTTTCCAAGACATGTCTACGAACATCCCTGGACTTCCAACTCCTGCCCATTATTGGTTGCAGATCGTCAGAGCCATCGGAGCAGTGGCCGAAAGCAGTCACAGCAGCCACACTACTTAAGGGATTGTCCAGGGATTGTCGCTTTTATTGATTAAATGGGATTCATTGGAAATTCCTCTAGCAGTTTAGTTGCATCGCTCCGGCGGTTCTGTCCCACAACAGCTGGCCCCCCAGAAGGCCCTCCCCCCCACCACCCCCAGTAAGCCCTGATCGTCCGGGGGAAATTGGGTCTTCCAGATTTCCAGTCCCCGTGCTCACCAACCTTGGCTCACTTTTTAGCCTTACCCCGACTGGTCATTCTAGCTTGTTTGTCGTCTTTCCCCTCTTCCTTCTCCTCCTTCCCAATCGCTTCCTTCCTCCGACTGGATTGAAGTTTAAAAATCATATCTCAGCCTCGGTTCATAGTCTACCTACAGCCGGAAGCTGCAGGTCAAGAGGCACACTGCAGAAATCATGGATGTTCATCAGTTCATCATGAGCTGTTTTGCTGGGAGTGCGTGGCGAACGACCCTCCATCTGAACCTACCTCGATCGACCCGCGGGATGCTAAGTTCGGAGCAGGGATAGTCTCTGCTGGCTCGCTTCTTGCACTGTTACATCCAGCTAATTGGTAGCGGCACCGCCAGCTGCATAGTCTGCCTAAGCATCGCTCCGCTTGGAGAGGGTCCGCGGCGTTCCATTCTTGTCGGACATATTGCTGTTGTCTATAACATGTGAAGATCGCACTGCTTCCTCCGAGACCCAGATCTATCGTCGGGGTACTTAGGGGGGAGAACCGCTGTTTGTTTTAGTCAGTCTCAAATCCGTTTCTGGTCATTGTCATCCCTTGCCAGAGACTTTTCGAATTGCCCTCGTGGGTACCGTGGTTTCTCGGTCAACTTTAATCTCCTGCTGCCCCTGCGTGTCACTTGACTGGAAGTTGAGGCTATGTATGTACCGCATCATTCCAGATCCATCCCCGATTAAAAGCTGCTCTTGTGCCATCGCGGCTAAGACTGATCTCGTTGCAGTCGTATTGACCCTTGCTTAAGGCCGCTCGACACTGGCGCTGTGCAACTTCTGAAAGGAACATTTTCTGTCCCAGCTCACTTCTCTCGGGTCGGGCTCTTCTTTCTGCTTGGGAGGTGAAAGACCCCGCATATGTCACACAGACATCATCCATCCCCAGCGAACCAGCAAGACACAGACAACCCCATCTCAGCATGGCAAGTGACAGCAAGCCCCATGTCGTTGAGACCGGCACTGTACCGGCCGCTGCTGCGACAAAGCCCAGTTTCGGGAGCCGCGTTGCGGCTCATTTCAAGCGGTGGTGGTGGGTGCACCTCATCATCTTGATTGTGGTGGTGCTGGTGGTGGTGCTGCCGGTGTATGTTGCTATCTTTTCTTCACTGACAACTATTGCGTTCAAGCCTGACATGATCGAACCAGAGTTTACGTTGGTTACCCCAATATCGCCCAGCATGATATCAACAAGTCAACTTTGAATATCACTAGCATGGCAATCAGTGATCCGACGCCCAATTCCTTCCATCTGCAAGAGACACAGGTTATCGGGTCTAGCAGCGCCTTCAAGCCCAACATCTACTCCTTCGGTGCCGCCATCAGTCTTCTGGGCGGAGCTCCCTTCATCACAGTTCAGATTCCCAAATTCAAAGCACATGATGGCGCCCAGGTCGATGTCGACCAAGACGTTAACATCACCGACGTGGCGGCATTTACCGAGTTCAGCAAGGCGGTCATGCTAAATGAGGAGATCCAGATGAATGTGTACGGCAAGGCTGATCTGAAAGAGGGTAGCCTGCCCAAGACGAAGATCACATACAATAAGACAACAACCATCAAGGGTACGGCATTCACCTCTTAAAGTCAACGCATTGGCTCACAGTCAGCAGGTCTCAACAAACTCAAGGGGTTCGAGCTAGTCGATCTTACCATCTCGACTTCTACGAAGAGTGGAAATAATGGCAAGGGGACCGTCTACATCCCCAACCCTTCGCCCTTCACACTCACTTTGGTTAGAACCCTGTCTCAGATTATCAACTAGTTCGCGCTGTCTACAGCAGCTAATGCTTTCGCTAGGGCAATGTCACACTTGACCTATCCGTCAATGGCACTGCTATTGGCCAATCCTACCTGACCGACCTCACCATCCGCCCCGGCAACAATACCCTTCCCATGACTGCCAACGTTAGCACCCTCACCGTGGCAGGCATGCTTGGTAGTTATCCCACTTTGATGCTTCCCGTTGACATCATCGGCAATTCGAGCGTCTACAACGGCGAGGAACTATCGTATTTCGCCGACGCTCTAGCTGCTAACACACTCAGCGTAGAGCTGAACGTGACGAAGGCATTGGGAGGTATTCTTTAGCTTGGGGTCATCGCTTTCTTGGGAAAATCTAGGATCGGAGATGAAAAGTTGAGATGGGGCCCGTCTATCTTGCTCGAAATGGTTATCCTGTATATGTTACATTAATGCTTTTCTTTTGTGATATGTTGTGTCATGACGAGGATTGATGAGTGAAATGGTATCTATGCTCAATGGCTATATAATAAGGTTTACTGCTATGAGGATGAATTGAAAGACCTGTCATCTGTCATCTGTCATCTGAATACCTAAAAAAAAAACATCATGCTTCTAGATGTGGTCCCTGTTGCTTGCGCGCCAGGATGACCGCGTGCGTGTCTTGCTACTTGAACCGGCTGACCCATGACCACCTCCACCGGGGCACAGCTTCGACAACGGTGAAAAAGCAACTGCAAACCTTAATCCTGTCCCTGTGGATCTCCTCGACCATCATCGACCTGGATCTCTGGTGAACTCAACTCTCTGGTGTGTCCGCCTTCGCCTTCGCCTTCGCCGTCGCCGTAGCCTGCTGTCAGCTAGTAGTCTATGATTAATGATGTGGAGATCCACGCCTAGAACAATCTTTCTCCTCCCCCCTTCTCCTCCCCCAACTCCGCCCTTCCCTGTTACTGTAGCTCCCCCCGCCCCCGCCCCCCCACACACCTAGGGAATGATATCCGGAGTCCAACGCTATCCACTAGGTAGGCAAAGCCCATGCTTATTGGGTCGACAGTGGCCATTTATTGTAGTGGATACCGTGCCATGGGGCCGGGAATTAGGTTTCCAGACTACCTTACCTACTCGTAACATGACACGCTACTTAATTTGCCCAGTGCATCCATTATAATCATCAGCATCATACCATACCTGCCATTGTGTGGGATTGGTACCCAATCCGGTGAGTTCGCGGATGGGTATCTTACCCTTTTTTTGGGGGGGGGGGGGGGGATGGGTGGAAAGTTAGTACAGTACATTGATGCGTTAATGCATTGATACCTTGTGATATTGTCTGTTGTTATGTGGGGGCTTTTTGTTGGGGAGATGAAGTTCAACACCCTGATGGAGAAGAGATGAGATGGATTAGGATGGGATGAGCTTAGGAATAGAAATTGCTCGGTCGTTGTTAGGTATATATTGTTGGGCTTAGGGGGAATGGAGTTATTGGTTGAGTTGGGGTTAATGCTTTCTGTAGAAACTGGACTAATGGTGGTGTGTGTGTGTGTGTGTCTTGTTGGCATGGTCAATAAACTTAGGTCAATAATCTTAGATAGCTATATTGTGTGGTTGGAGTCTACGGGGAACAATATCATCACAGCCAACTTCTCATCTCGCTTATACCGCAGGGTATACCAATAAACATACAAGGAATGCAGATAGCGAGAGAGAGAGAAAGAAAGAATAAGCACCAACAAGACGAATGCAGCCACATCTCTTCTCCCTCTCTTCTTCCTCTCTCTCACGGTCTCTCTTCAGTCTCACCCGAGGAGAGAACAAAATCACATATCATGCAAACTCTCATATCCAACCTCTACTAAGCTCTTTCCCTTCCCACCGCTCTTATCCCCACCAATATGCCAGTAGAACAGTCCCCCGAGTTTCATCCTCGTCACGAACTTCGCCTTCAGCTGCACCGTCCGCGGGGTGTCGTACGTGACGAACCCGCCATCCACGCCGCCGACACAATATGCCGCGCCGGCCTCCTCGTCAACGACCTCCCGCGCACCGGGTCGGGGCAGGTCGCAGTAATCGAAGATCCCGTCCTCGCCCCCGCAGCCCGCATATCGCTGGCCTGGGCCGGAACAACCCAGGAATGACCGGCCGTAGACGGGAATCCCCAGCAGAAGCTTTTTGGGATCGATGGGGTGGTTGTTGAGGATGTAGGCGATGCTGGACTGACAGGATAGGGTATTGCTGCTCGCGTTGGGATGCGAACTACTCGGGGGGGCCGTGAGTTGGGCGTGGTGGCCGGTTTCCGGCGTCCAGGGTCCCGTGAAGTCATAGGCCATGATGTTGAGAAGGTCCAGATAGGATTGGGCTTTGGAGAGATCGATGTGTCGCAAGAACCAGGGCGATGCGGGGAGGGCTGATGTTACAAGGTAGCGCGGGGTCGGGAGCGACTTGCGGATTTGGGCGAGGAGGCGGATATAGTCGGCGCCTTGATGGGCGTCCGAGGGGTGTTCCCAGTCCACTTTTTGAGCAATTGTTAGCAGGGAGTTGCAAGTACGTTGCGTAGAAAACAGGGTTGAGTGGTATTAGAGAGCGCAGAGCAGAAAGAAATAAGCTTACCATCTACCCCATCTAGGCCGTACTCGTCTACCAGTGCTCGGGAAGTCCGCCCAAAAGTCTCCATACAGGATTGACTGCGAGCCACGCGCGAGAAGTTCTCACTTCCCTTGCCGGCGCCACCGATAGAGAGAATGAGTTTCAGTTTAGGATACTTTGGCTTGAGCTGGGCGAAAGCCCGGAGACAGCCGGTAGTGCCGTCCACGGGCATCTGTGTGTCGGCCCATTCGTCGCTCAACTGGATAAAGTCAGTTTACAACCCAGAAAAAGAGAGCGGAAGATTGCTCACATAGACGGTACCATCTTCTTTAACCCTATGAGAAGAGAAGCAAAATTGGTTAACATCCTCTGTATGGGTTCAGAGCCCGAGGGCCAGATATGGGTGCTGAGTGGCTACTAGTACCAGGCAAATGCGTAGAATATATGCGAGACAAATCCCAATCGCAGCGAGGAAGGGGACTGTTTCTGATAAATGCGCCAGTTGGGATAGTAAGCCGCATTCAGATAGAAGGGCACCTCATAAGAGCTGCTGCTGGAGCGTTCGGCTGCTTTGCGACGCCAGTGTGGTAATAGTGCGGAATTAGAGAACATAATGAGGTGGGGGCCCTAGGAGGGCGAGGAGGATGCGGGAAACAATGATATTGAGCTTAGCAAGCCCACAGTAGATGACTAGAGCCTCTTTGGATCCGATAGAGAGACAGAGCGAAAAAGTGACGAGAGTGAAGGCGAAGGATCAAGACGAATAGACTGGTTGAGAATGGCGTCACGTGTGTGGGATATGGGCAGCGAGAGGACGAAGTGATTGTTTTCTTGGGCTTCTTGTAGTTCTCTCGTCGTCTGGACAAATTGATTATGTCCGAGCCTCCTACACCCACGACTTTGTGTCAGTTATCTGAATTTTATCTGAACCTATCGACTCATCTGTTCGATTCTTCTGGAAGATTGAAATCCCTCACTCGAGCCGGGCAAGAATAAGACAAGGACGGACGTGGAAGGAAAAGGGTCAGAGTTAAACAGCAAGACCGAACGAAGCGAAGCGACAGAAGTACAGACTCTCCCAAAGAAGGCAACCGCAGGGGTTACCTACTTAATAGTAAGTTAGCAGTTAAGTTAGTACTTGACCTACCGTAAGGTACATTCAAGTTAGTTCTTCTCCTGTTTTGCGATTCCATTACTACCGGTACAGTACTAATAGTCTTAGGGAGCCCGGGTACGCTATTTCTAGGGCTTCCTAATAGTTAGTCAATGCGGCGGCGGACAAATCCTCCACCTCCACCATCACCACCACCATAATGATGAGAATAATGATGATGATTATGCTCAGAAGTGAAACCAATCACACGGCCCGTCTAAGCAGAACAGGCAGAACAGGCAGAGTTTCAGGCCCCAGTCGCAATTCTCTCACACACCTCTAACTTATCTCTTCGTGTTGGCTCGTCGGATCAGAATCAGCCCCAGACACGGTCCGAACGTCTGGCTCTCTCCCCGCCTATGACAGTTCCAGGTCGGACGTCCTTTTCAAGCCATCGGGCGGGTCATTGGCTGCCTTCGAGGCTTCGTTCTGACTTCAGCACAACAGCTCCGTAAGGTATCTTCAGTGCACCAACGCTCAGAGCCTGTTTTGATGGCATTTGGGCTCTTTCACTCTCTGGGTTGGTGCCAATACCTCAATTCCAGGTGGATCAAAGACAAGAAATGCGACTGATCCCATGCAGCCATGAGAAAAGGATCGACCGATGACTGAGCTGCGGCGCCGAATCAGCATTGCAGTTGTGCAAGTAATATTAGTGCTTCTTGGGCGACATGGGCCGCTGCTCATCCGCCATCCCTCCCTCTCTAAGTAACTGCTACGAGTAGTTCACAGGTTTCTCGATCGGTCGTTCCGAACAAGACTGAATAATCGATGTAGTGGGGAAATGCATTTTTGGTTTTACTTTTGTCTTGGAGATACTCGGGCTTGAACCCTGGCCACTTCGAGTACCAGCGTCACAGTGGTTTTATAGGGGTGATCCTTGGTCAAGGTGAATATGCTGACTGTCGTGGTGATATAGACACAGCCACAGAAGGAAGGAACCGCGATCCGAGAGAGATATGAGTTATACCCAAGGCATAAGTTGCTGTTGGGAGGGTGAGACAACGGATGACTTGGGCTATCTTAGCGTGGCAGGCGACGTATCTCCCGGTGCTCATCAGCAACCAGCGGTCGCACGGGGTGGGCGGAGGTGCCCATGAAATACAAGAAGGACAAAAGAAACAGTTGTTCTCACAGCCAGGCGGATCCTGATTCTACCCCAGATTCCAAGCGCGGTGATTCTGTCTCGAAGCTTGTAGGCCCAAAGTAGCCGACCATGTAATGCTGGCCGTGCCAACAATGTTGATGCTCGTCATATGCAGGGGCAGCCCGACGCTTCTCCGGGGAAGATTTCCCCAGACAGCTGGGGCGGACGAGCTATCGCATTCTGGCTAGTTATCCTGTCTGATCACGGTACTAAGAATGTATGACCTGTCCGATCTGGATGTTTTGAGATTTGACTTCGACTTGGTTCTATCATGCAGGAGCTGAGTAATCTGCTCGAGCTGTTGCCACCGCCTACCGCTCAAAGAATATTGCCACTTTGTCGCTCGGGCTGATCTCTTTTAGTCTTTGTCTTTGTTACTTCACATTCCTCCTGTCCAACTCCTAGCTCATGACTCATAAATCGGCTTGACATATGAGAGCACTTCTCAGCAGAACGAGTTTATTTCTCGGAGCTTTGATATTGACCAAGAGTAGTGGCCCCTCGTCCAATTTGCACTACCTCTTCGTTTCTTATCCATTGACAGCTCTTTCCCGCGACCTCTGACAAGCTCAACACAATGGCGACTGACGTCGGCCATGTTGCCTCGCGCATCCTGTCCCCCGATACTCCTCGCGACCCGAACTTCGATGATTTTTCCTTCATCCCTTTCCTGCGCAGTAGCTATGGA